GAGAATGCAATCCACTGCATCGGGTGGGACGCTTTGAAAATGGCTGGAGGGGTTTGGAAACACAAGTCTGAGATGTTTGCTCTTCGAGGGATTTATTTTTAGATGTTGATGCGCTGCCCTAACTCCTAGGGTTCATCCAGGGAGGGCCAGCTCCATAAGCTTTTCCCAAACTATACAAGGACTCTGCTTCCACAGCGCAGATGAAGGAATAGCACTGTCACACTGGCACATAATTGTCTCCTTCTAGTATCAAATCTGATATGTAAAAAGGCTCTTGTGGCAATTTAAGCTAATAATTTTGCTCATTTTTATGACTTTCAATCTTTGCATCTCAAAACATATTCAAGTATTTAAATTTTTTTTTTAAACTTCCTTTATTTCTTGAGCAGATCGTCAATGCTTCCAACTGGCGACCGCTTATCCTTTTTAGGCAGCACATGAAAGAAGGGAGATAGATGTGTAGCTGAAGACTGTGCAAGTAACAAATGTCTTCAACGGATTGGCATGCTCAGAGAGTGATCCACATCATCTTGGAAATGTCTCAAATGCTCTAATCATCCCAAGGACATACTTTAGTATGGTGGCCTTGGCACAGTGTCACAACCCCCCCCAAAAAAAAACCAAGCAATGCTCCTTCTGGAAAACACTCTGTTATGACTCTGAGCAGAAATGTAATGGCAAAGAAATGCTGAGACTAGATTTGAAGAGCTGTAATTGTTTCTGTAGTACAGAAAATGCAGGAAGGAAACTCCAGATGAGGAACTGCATAAAAAAAAGACCAACTGGGTGCTCCCAAGCCCAAAAGGGGACATAAAAAATAGAATATTGGATATGGGTTTAGTGAGGTAGAGTGCATGGAGGTCAGCCAAGGAGAGAGGTGAAAAACAACTGGTCTGTGTTGAGCTGGAATTCACAGGTGAAAAGTAGAATGGACCAAAGGACATTTCTTCTAAAAAAGGGAAGAATTCCAAAAGTAATGTTCTAGGTCCCCCGAACGCTGGAAGGAAACAAGGCAGAAGGCCAGGAAGCAGATGTTGAGGGACAAACAGCCCGATACGAGGCACGAGACCCGGATAAGGTACATTCTGCAAGAGGCGGAGACACAAGGGGTGCAGATGGTGGGATGAAAGTGAGCGCTCGGACTACGACAGTGGGAGCACCGGGTTGAGCATCTACTCAACGTGGAGCTTACGCTACTAATGAGGTGCTCAGCTCTACCTAGGCACATGCAATTTGAAGACCGAGATGAGCATTAATCAAGTTCTTCAAGCACTTGTGACTTTGCAGGAAAATAGTTTGCCAAGGAAACTGGAAAGTCAACGGAGGCAAGAAGACAATAGCTGAAAATCAGAGATCAGAAATCCCGTACTTTCATCTGCAGAAGATAACCGTATTGCACTATGTCATTCGAAAGGACAAAAATACAGAGCCACAAAGGAAAGGATGTGCAGTATAATGAAAGAAACTGGAAAAGAAAACAGATGAATAACACCATTTGGTCTTCCTGGAAGATGTGTCACTGACCTCAGTACAAAGGCAAATTGGCTAAAATGTGACACGTTCACTAAATTCAAGTCAGCCTACATGACCTCATGTTCAACATGAAACAATAACTGGAATTCAGAGACAGAGAAAGCCAAATTAAATAAAGCAGTTTAAAAATTACAGTGACGGTTATCCCCTATTTAAATAAACTATCAAAGGAAATAGCAAAAACCCCATCACTTGACATTTTAATACAAAGACTAGAAATCTTTCTGAAAGATTTACTTAAGTCAAAACACGGTATCAGGTTTCATGAAGAAGCACATTACATTTAACGGCTTTACCAAGTGGTCAGACAAAATGACCTAATATTACTCTCTACCCTTAAAACAGATGACTGCTTTTTTTTCTTTTTTCCTTTTTTTCCTTTTTTTTAATTTTGTTTTTCAATTTACAAAAGGTAGAAAGGTTGGAGTAAACTGAATAAAGGAAATACTGGCAGTGCTGCCTTCTCCTTCGAGCAGAACAACCGACATTATTGAAGCATCCACTGAGATTCAACAAGAGGAGAAGAAAACCCTTCGGTCAGAGGCAAGGAGCAAGCTGGTAACAGCCAGACTACAGCAGTCACAGTCATTTGGAAAGGCAGCCTTAATCGTTCGAGGTGGAAGGCCAGACAAGCAAATAACAGGGCATTTTCTCGAAAAAAACATACTATAGGAAAAAGCCTTGAGGCTTGTTATAAAGGAAGCTGAAGTGTTTTACCCTGAATGGAACAGGCTTCTAGTTGTTGGTTTCGTAGCAACCTTGTATGACCTTTAAACACATTTTGGATTGTAAAAACAAAGTTATATAAAAAAACCAACAACAACAAAACCCCAAACACAAAAACAAAGCAAAAAACCCAAGCCGAGCTGCAGGGACTTCAGGATTGACTCCCAGTCACCTCAACTGGAAACCTGTCCCAGGACCTCCCTGCTGACAGAGATCTTTTCCCAACCCCCATTTATGCTTGTCTCTTCATATACCAGCCTTTCTTTAGCATTACTCCTTCCTCCTCCCTCCTCAGCATTTACTATTTATAATCATTTCCCCAACTCAGCCTTCCCTTTAAGCTGAAAAAGCCCAGTTACTCTAATCTCCTCCACACCTTCAGTCGTTTTGAGAGCCGGTCTTTGCTAGGACTTCAGCTCGAGCTCACCCTTTCAAAAACGCATGACCAAAAACTACACATCAAATGCTCCAGGTCCCCCGTAGCATCTCTGATCCAGTCTCATCCCTACCAAAAATACTGTGCCAGATGCATCTGCCATCATAGGTTTTTTTTCCACGGCTGCCCCATCATGGCAATCAATCGGTCCTACCATGGGCAATCACTTTTGGCTCCTTCTTTCTGACAAGTTTTTGTTTCGACTTTCAACTACCTGACTCTGCATTTGCACAACTGGTCTCTTTCCGCTTCTAGCAGCCCGTTCTTTGATACCATCCAATTCTCATGCAGGCTCCAGAGCCTCCTGCGTGCTGGTGATGCCTGCAAGTTTTGAGCCAGCAGCGGTTTCAATATGGTTGGCCTCTTTCTTGGCCAAGATCCTTAATTCAAATACCACCACCAAAAAAAAACCCCTGACTGTTTGAGGCAGGCACTTCGATTACCTCCTCTTTCACCTTTCAACACTGCCTCAGGTCACCTGTGGCCCTCTGCTGCCATCGCCTTCCCCACTTTATATTTTCCCACTAACCACATCTTCTTCTGTCTAAACTTTATTTAGCGCATCCTTTACCAGCCGGAGGGAATCTAATCACATTTCCACTACCCAGCAAAAGCAATCATGAAAGATATAAGGTTAGTCTGGCATAACAGCCTTTGTTTATTATGGTACACTTTCCCAATTAGTCATTTACTCCAAGCCTTTTTTTTTTTTTTTTTATTTTTTTACTTTGGGTCAGTTTGTGATTTTTTTTTTTTTTTCCCATTTGCAGAAATTCTAAATCATTTTCTCCCAACCTTTTTTTTTTTTTTTTTAATTTTTTAATTCAACTTTTCAGACCATAACCCAGAAGTCAGCACCCATCGGTCTTGTCATTGCCAGGGTGGCTTTTCCTTTCTGCTCCAGCAGAAGCAGGAAACCGGATCACCCTCCAGCAGTCAGACCCACAGCTTTCAAGCACTACCATAAAAACACTGAACCTGTTACCACCACAGTGGCAATGCCCTATCGCACCCGTCAGTGCAGTTATTTCTGGCTCAAATCCTGAAAAAGTTTGCACGGATGACGGCTCAAAAATATAAGTTGAAGGACAGCAAGCTTCAGAACCGAGCCCGAGAAGTGCATGCAATAAATACCGGTGCCTTCATTTCCAGTTCCTCAATGGATTGATTCACTAGAAACAAAGCGTACTTACATAAGCCACATCCAAAATGATGCAAGGGAAAAAAAAAAAAAAAACAACTCTTGGTTTTCCTCAGGAAATTTCATTGCAAATGAGACTGTCAGCGATTCTCTGCAGCCAGATGTTAAGTGTTTGGTTTACGTATGTTAAAGAAGCATCTTCAGCCTGACAAAGCAGCATCTTAAAACATGAATTACCAATGAAATACGAAATCCTACTTCAACTGCAGAAGACTGCACTGGGTTTTTTTGCACGTTTTTGGCCACGAAGCTGTTAGAAGTGTCTTTGCTGGGATAACTTGCAGCTTTAGGGCTGTTTTCTGTTTTGTTTCATGGAGGGGACAGGAATGGTTTTACCATCAGATAAATTGTAATGGATGACATTTTGGGCTCTAAATGTTCAAGGCAAAACCCTTCCACTCTTCCATGGAGACAAAATGTCACTGTATATAGTGCTCCTAGGGTACAGACCCGCAAGTTTCAGCCTTTCTTGATTTGCAGCCTCCGAACATTTTCCTAAGAGAAGTGGAGGCCGCCCTGTCGACTTGCGGGAATGGGGGAGAGGAACTTCTCACAGATCCCATACAAACAGCTCACTAACCTTAAGTGCACAGTTACTAGTTCAGATTAATAGTGAACAAATAGACAAGAGACCATCGAGGAGGTTTACATCCAGGTTCACTTTCGCCCATCCTGCATTTCCTTCTTGCAGCAGCTAAACTTTCGTCTTGCCTTTTTAAACTGCGTAGGGATGAAGGACATCTTACCCAGGAGCACGGGAAAGGCCAGAACATTGAAAACACTTCTGCCCATGCTCAAAGAAACAAACTCCTTCAATATAGCAAATACAATTACAGCCTGCTGCACGCTTCCATCATCACAAAAGCAAATAAAACAATGGACACTTCTCATGTTGGACTTCGGCAAAAGACGTTTATTATTATTATTATTATTATCGTTGTGTTGCTGTTGTACCTCCTCTGCTCTGCCCACAGTGGTGGCATAAATGCTGTTACCATATTGTAGCTGATGATGCCGGTGTACAAATCAAAATCCATCTTAATTTCAAACTCCATTAGAAACACAGGAAAAAAGATCAACATTTACGAAATGTAAAGGGAAAAATGGTATGGAAAGAATTATTTTTTTTATTTTTCAGGCTTCCAAGACAGTATTACAAACAACAGAGAGCAAAGTAAAGCTAGAAATGAAATACTTGACAGCATCTGTTTAAAAATTACAGCTAAGAAACCTAATAAAAGTTGAATAAACAGTTACTAGAAATAAAAATTTTTACACATATGATATTTGTCTGGGATTTTTATTTCTTTAAAATAATTCATACAAATGGTTACAGTCACAAACATGATTTTAACCAAAAATATTGCTAGCCTACCACATTACCAGGAAGGAATCAATGTAGGCAATGAAATGCTGCTACTTTTCAGTAGTCTAGTGCCTTTTTCGCATACCACCAATAATATATACTTTAACTGGTGACAAAAAGCACAATGCTCGTTTATACAAAACCTTTTTTTTTTTTTCCTCAAAATCTCTTCGCAAGGTTGTCTTCATTTTGAAATAAGGGAATTCATGCCAAAATTAGGAGAAACTGTTTTTCTTTTGTTTACTAAATTATTCTAAAAAATAAGACAAGCAGGTAGAAAAAACAATGCACTGTGTGGCGTAGAAAGAAAAATGGGAAAAATTCATTGTCCTGAGAAGTTTGCCAACTGCCTCATTTTTGGGCATGTTTTAAAATATAAAAGAAAGGATTTTTAATCTCAAAATTGGTTTGTTGAATGCCTCCCTTATGTTTTTCCTTGTTGACAGCTAAGCAAACAAACCCTTTTTTAATGTTCTAAAAACTGTACACAGACAAGTACATTCATGATATAATTAACTACTAACTTCTCTTGCTTAACAAAGAACCCATAAGACACAGAAACAGTGAATCAGTCCACTGGACAGGGACAAACTACAATTTATACGGAGGAAAAAATGTTTCCAAATCTTCTTTTTGTCTCCCACCTTTTCCTTTTATACTGTATATTGGACCAGTTTCTAAAATAATAATCGTCTCCTCCTGTAAGTTCATGGTTTTGCCTTTAATCAAAATCCAGGGTTTTGTTTTGTTTTGTTTGTTTGTTTTCCACACGCTGAAGTTGAAATCTCCGATGTAGGGAATGCTGTTTTCGTAGGCTACAATTGGTCGCTTGGGTGGTCTCTATCAGCTTCTGGTTTGACAGTTTGGCCGGGGGAAGGAGCATGGGGCGGGTGGGCTACAGCAGGGAGGCCGTGTGATAAAGACATAGGGTTGGGGACTATTCCTTCTACTGCTGTAGGTATGCCAGTTGAAGCCACGCTTACAACGCCTGGGGGATACCTGCTGAGAGAAGAAAATGAGAACATACATTAAAACCAAGGGATGATGACCGGAAAGCCCACCCTGCCTCCTTCCACAGCTATAGAGATGCTGCTTTTGTTTTCAGACCAGTGAGAGACAGTTGGTTAAGCTCTAGATGAGACACCATATGCAGATGCTGCTAAACAAAGCAAAAGAGGCTGTATTTTACCCAAATGAAAAATAAAGGTTTCCTAGATCGTTTCTTCAGATTTCAGATTTAATAGCCTGATGACAGCACAGCAAAGGAAACAACCTGGAAGTATTGCTCCTCTCAAAGTATGCCTCAACAAGAGGTAACTCAGGCTAGGTCCATGCACTACACCTATCTGTTCTCTCTGACTTTCCCTCAAGCTGACCTTCGGGGATGTTTTTCCTCCTTCGTTCTCATGTAGAAATTTTGAAATTTCATTGTTGTGGTTTGAAAAAATATTTCTTTAAACTAATCTCGTAGTTGTAGCTTTCTGATAGCTCCCCAAAAGAGCAATCATACCCCCACACTCTTAAGATGACAAATTCAAGCCTATGAAACCCAAGTAACTTTTTCAGCATCAAACTTGCCGCTGTATTTGTCTGAAAGAGAACCAGTACTAGTTATACAGAGGACAAGTGCGTCAGGCAGGCTGCAAGAAAGAGAAATGCAAACACAAAAACTATGGATGGTTTTAAAGATTTCTTACCCTATCTGGAAGAACACCAAGGCCTAAATATTTTATGAATTCAACAAAAAAATCACCCTCTGATTCAGCTTGATTTTATGATGGCTCTGATATTATCAGGCTGAAAAAGTATCTTGCAAATCTACTGTTTCAATCCCAAAGTTCAGATGTCATTGATGAACACTGGTATTTCACAGTGCTGCAAATAAACAAAGCTCCACATGAACACTTTTAACAAAAATATGTTTTCTTTTTAGCCAAATACCTCAATACCCATTTGGAAGTTATCTCACGCTCGCCACTTAACACTGGCCCTTTGCCTCCCCATCCCCATCATAAAGCTGCACACTCATCCCTTGTTTTCTCCTGCTATATTCTGCTCACCCAAGCATCCTAGTGAGCACATTATCCATTTAAAAGCCTAAACACACAAACCTACCACTTACACACTGTGGCATCTGCTACCCTAGTATTTACTTAGAACTAAATGGCAGAAAAGGCACTTGTAGTCTAGTCAAGCTTTTTTCAAATATCACATTATTCTGCTGTTGATTTTCTTCTCATCAGAGTTCGACGCTGAAAGCATCAGGGAATTTCACCCCATTTCAGTAGCATCTTTTCTAAAGTAATGCATGTTTTGTGCTGCTCATCCTAAGTTCCCTCAAACTGACCGAAAATTAGGGCAGAACTTATGCAAAACTCAGAGGAAGAATAAAGCTGGATGAAAGCACATTTCTTTCTTCTTTTTTTTGAAACATCATGGGAACTGCTTTTTGCAAACAGTGTGCCAGAGGGGCTCAGCATGGCTATCCGACATGGCACAGGGACGATGAAGATACCATACACTGGCCTGGTCATCATGGAAAGATCCCTACAGATCGTACCGCTGACTGTCATCTGGGAGGGATAACCAGTATGTGAAAGATCCCACCACCTGTAGGCCAGAACTTTGTTCCCAATTGTACACATATTTACAGGGTTTCCTATGCTAATTCCTTCTCCAGAGAGGTTCCTTAGAATTAATTTGCAGTTGCTAATGGAATTAGTTGCTTGTTTCAGTACCTCAATTTGAATCTTATTGATCAAATTTGATTCAATTCCTATGAAAACTGTCAGACTGGGTATTGTTTTACTTATTCAAATCTGATTTTGAAACAGCTTCTCTGCTACTCTAGGTGCTTTGCAAAAAACACGACATGACATGACAAAAACTTCCATTTAAAAGCCCAACACAGCAACCGTTTCCAACACAGAGTCTCTACTTTCTAACAACATACTCCTCAAGCACCAACACACCAGAGCTGGGAGAAAACAAGGAGAGAGCAAATTCTGCAACTGCGTTTCCCTCAGGAAGAGAAGTCAGAGCCTCCCCTCATGGAAATGGAGGGTGCTGGATCAGGAGCATTAAGAGTTACCGTATGAGCACATTAAGCAGTTCAAACTACACATCTGTAATTCTCTTTTGACTCCAAAGATTCTTTCTGCATATAAAAATATTCCCCTTGGACATCAAGTTATAATAATTGGGATTCTACCTGCCAGCACCTCTCCTCAGACACAGGCTTCCTACAGACCTTTAGTAACATCCAAAAGCCCTACAACTGGTTTTCTTGTCCTAAAGCTACACTGTGGCAGTACCCAAAATACAGATAACAAACCTCTCTACAGAAACTGTATTTTGCTTGACAACTCCTAACCCTATCTTGCCAATCATCAGTGTTCAAATCGTATCTCTGAAAGGAGAACATATAAACTCAACAGCCTCTACACATGGGCGTTTCTATCCCACATAACCTTCCTTTATGTTGCTATCTATTGCTTTTCTATTCTTAACCAGCAACTACATTCCCTCCAGCACTTCATAAAGTTCCTCCCAATCTTCCTCCTCTCGTAGCAAGCTGAAACGTTTTCCAGGTAAAATGTCCACTGAATTAAATTTTTGTAGCAGCAGAAGCAAGAGATCAGTTACACCTCCGTTGCTACTTCATCCTCTTCCTTCCCCTTCCCCCCCACAGTCTCAATTTATGAAGAAAAATACAGTAGCCCTCTTAATTACAACTGAAAGGGAACTTTAATTTCTATGTTAATCTCCAGTATTTTTTAAACTACAGAAGCACCCTGAACTCACTACGTTAAGCTCTGTTCAAGAAACTGAGTCTGTCCCAAAAGAGCTTAAAAATTTAAGTGCATGCTTTTATCTTACATTACAGAGTCTGAAAATCACCAGTGAAACACCTCAACATGAAATAACTCCTGAATTACCAACATCGAACTATTCTCATCCAAGTACCTCTTCAGTACCTGGATATTCTCATCTTCTACCTGTTAGAAGGCAGAAAGATATGTCGACATGGCTATAAATTGCACAATCACTGGTTACTGGCTGTCGGATTTCACTTTGCCTATAACCTGCACGCTCTGTGACGGAGGAAATGGCAGGGGGTTATTTAACAGGCAACTCAGTAACAAATACACAGTAACAACACAAAAGCAGGGTACATTATGCTGCTTCACCAAGACTATTACAAATAGTTCCTTTTCAGGAATCTTTAATCTTTACTCATGGGATAGGTCCCATTTGCTTGACCTTTTGTGTTGATAAGGCATCTTGCATTTCACATAGTAAATGGTTTTGTTTTCCACAGAATATGATATTCAGAAGATCTAGATTATATTCTGCTGATGAATGCTCAATGTTCTTTGCTTGCGATAATATCTGATAATTTAAGACTTGTCCTACATCAAAATACAAGTAAATGATATCTCCAGAATAAAATAGCCTCGTTAGTTTTAGTTCACCGAAAGAGCTATTTGCATTTTTTAACATATAAATTATTATCCCAGGTCTTATCTTCTAATGCAATTACATGACTACGATACAGTTATTAGCACATCTGAAACATCACACTGCCTGTGAAAGACTCCAGAACTCAGCTAGTTGAACATAATCTTGGATTGCAAAGAGAAGACAGAAAAATTTGTTTTGAACAATCAATTCAAATTCTGTACTTAATCCAGGCAGGAATTAAGCACCACCAAACACTGCTACTGAACCCAAATTCTTCACAGAGACTGAGCTTCAAGTTCCGCATATTTTATACCGCACAAAATAATAACTGCTTTCACCCACACTCAAACACTATTCTATCACCCCTCCAAAAACCAGCTTTTAATATTTGTCGTATGACTAACTTCTTTCTCAAAATTCCCAAAATTAGTTTTATTTTGCATTTGAAAATAATTGTCAAGTCAAAATTCATTTATGAAGAATTTTCTTTATTGAAAAAACTGACTGAAACGATGTCTAAAAAAAGGCATTCCGCTCCATGCTTATCCTGCTTAAATTAAATGCATATGGTCTTTACCTTGTAAATCATTAACTCCCAAAAGTTAAAATCCATTTCTTGTTGTGAAGCCTGCTTCTGCTGGACTTGTGACCCCCAAAATGAGAACAAACAACTGCATTTTTTTGGGGCGTGCAACCCTGTTCCTAACTGCCATGACGGGGTTGGAGTTATTACCCCCTGTTCAGCAACACCTGCCTTTAAGCCTCAGTTGCATTCAGCTCTATCCTGTGTATTCCAAACTGAAGTCAAACTACACGCCGTGTGGAAGAGAACACATGCGCTTGAACTTCTCATTTAAGCAAATAAAAAAACCCTTCTTCACATGTTTAGGGCTACAGGTACTTTTAAAAAAAAATAAACATCTCGATGTGATGTGAGATATACGCACGTAGATCAAATCAAAGTTATTCTTCTCCTTTGGTGCACGTACAGCAACTGATAAGGAGATTACAGCAGAGGGTGGTGATGCTCCCCCCGTCATCTCTCCATCACTTTCTGATGAGACTGTTAGAAGTCATTGGGACATGAGAGCTTTGCTTCACTTCTCAGCATTGCACAGCTGGGTTCTCATATGGGATAGTACAAAAAAAAAATCCTCTATATTAAAAGTATGGGGTAGCCCTCCTACAGCAGGACAAAGACGCATGAAGAAGGACAGCAGAAAGATCAGGACAGAGAGGTACAAAAAAATAATGCAAGTACTGCACTGTCCCTTCCCTCAAGATGTGGAGGGAAGCAGATCTCTGCAGCTTTCTCAGCCACCTTCATCCTACTTATGAGTAAATACCATACTGGAAGATAAAAAATTGAAGACGTTTTTCATAAATAAAAATTGTGTGAAGCTGGCTACTAGGAAAAATCTGCTGCTAGAACAGCTGCTAGGGATAAAGGGACAGAGAAGGACTGTCAAGCAAAGTTACTAAGGAACATACATATTAGACGTAAAAAAATTACCTCTTTTTATTAATTATTAAGAGCTGCTTTCACAGTTGATTGACAATACATAGATCAAGTCCCTCAAATGCTTTTGCTTAAAAATTAAACATGTAATTTAGGAAACATCATTTTAAACATATTTTCATAATCACAGTAGGCTATTCGACTGTATTCACTACTGAGTTATTTGTTCTCTTGTGTGTCTGGAGGCCACAAAACCACGTAACAATAGTTTATTATTGAAAGTATTTCTGTAACCTACCGCTGTATCATTACCTTCAGCAAAAGGAACATAAACTTCCACTGCACTCACAGGAGATGACCAGAATTGTTTTACTTGGATATACAAAAAACTTTGTATTGTTCAGATATTACTAACCACACAAAAAAGATAAGAAAAGGAAACGTGCTTACGCACTGCACGACTGACTTCAACTAGCAAAACAAGATTATTCTCCTGAATGCAACAATTATGAAAACAATATAGCTAGGGCCTAATCCAAAACCACTTCATTTATTAATAAGAAGGTCTTTTATTTATTCTCGAATACCTACCTCTGAATTAAGGAGGTATTTCTGTTACACCTGCAGCATGCTTACCTGTATGCAGCACCGTTAAGCTCTGGATGAACAACTCCGGGATCCATGCTGGCCCAATGTGTAGCTGCAGTCAAATGATCTTTGTTAACACAGTTTTTCAGACTGTCTGGAATACGACCTAGGATGAAGTGAGGGAGAGGAAATAAAACCCCATAAAGATTGTATGCCTTATGCTCTTAATGTATCTATGTTAAAAATAGTTACAAATATTTTCATATTTAAAACAATACATAAAATCACACTAAGAGGTTATTTTTGATCCTCACTGTTCCCCTTTCATTTGGGACTTAGTTAATAATGGTTAAAATCCTCTGCATAATTTTTATTTCTTGGTCTCTCTTTGCCTTTTGGATACAGGGTCTCAATAAAACCATAATCAGTAAGATTCATGCTTTCCAAGAAGTTAAAACTTGAATATAGAGCATGGCCGCCACTCAAATTCAGTAATGTAGCCTCCTGCTCTCTGTAACTTCACTTTCCTCCTTTTCCCTCCACATCTAACAGCAATATAAATGCTTATCGAAGAATGTAGGATTCTGAATGGAATTCTGCCGTAAACCTGAATACGACCGACACTTTTTTCCTGTCCTCCTGATCTTCCCCTTCTTTATCTCAATTTCTCCTCACATTTATTTACTATAATGTGTTAATCCTCAGCCATCTCTCTCATTCCTACAAAAAATGAAAATACACCAGAAAACTCCCTTTTTCATTTCTTCATAACTTTTGCTTAACCTCTGAAGTATAACTGAAGTTTTTAGACACAGATACTGGAAAATCTGGCAACTTGATTCAGCACATATTGGAAAAGCCTCTGACTGTCTTCTGCAGAACTAGCTCCAGCCCTGCAAAAAATGACACGAGCAGATACAATACGCATTTTCTTCACGGCAACAGCAATATTTCTACCTGCAATGGGAGATCAATTGGAGCCTGTGTTTTTTCTGACACCTGTTTTAAAGTATCCTTTCTGAAGTTTAATCTTACTGTGCATTTGCACACACAGGAGTAGAAAGAGATGAGTTCGAGTCTACCTCTGCCACTGTTGGCAACAGTACTCCAGAAATGCTTTCAAAAACTGACCATGCTCCATCATTAAAGAATTCAGGCTTTCTGTCTCCAGCTTCCTACTGGAAATTTGATTAAGGACTTCACTACTCTCTGCCTGCTCTTTCTATCCATCAGCCTGGCCGCAATGGGGCTGTAAAAAAGTCTTCTCACAGAATTGCTTTTTGTTTAGTGGATACTATCAAATATTTGTTACTCCATGACTTGTACTTATGTCACTAAAACTTCCCACGTCTCCTATGCACAAGCCAAAAGGGCTTCTTAGTTCAATATCAGACAAGATGAGGTACACGCCCCATTATGGGTGAATTCCTACCATTCTCCTGATTAGAAATAATCTAAATTTAGCTGAAATACACATCTATCTAAACTTCTGCCAAAATCATCCATAAATTTAAAGACTATCTTTCTTCTTCTGATGTTTATCCTTCTCAAGTATTTTTAAACTGCAATCATGTCTTCCTCCTTGCCCCTCTCATTCTTCACTTTGCTAACTTCTGTAGGCGTGTTCTACTAGTCTCCCCTTACAAAACAGCACATATTTATTTTAAACTTATTTCAGAATCATCTTTTCACTTGCTATGCTCGCCTTCCCATTCCTTCCATTACTGTTTTCAGTGGTCCTCCTTATTTAATACTTTGAATGTTTTGATGTTCAAAAATATATTTGAAGATATTTTATCTCCGCTTATCGTTTTTATTTTATACATCAGACGGTTGGACTCGATGATCTTAAGGGTCTTTTCCAACCTTGACGATTCTATGATTCTAAGTCATTGACTTTTTGGGAGCAGCAGAACCACTTAACATCTTTATCGTCAGATGGTAGTCATAGCCTGCATTCCTTCACTGCACACCTTTTTCCAATTAGTTTCTCTTTCTACACCCTCCCTCCTCTGTGTTCCCCTACAGCTTTCACATATCCAGCTTTATCCCACACTTCCTCTCTCTTTCCTACATTTGTTTCTCTGCAATTCAATGCCATTCTCACCTCCCTAATGTTGGCCTCAGTTTGATCTTACTACAAACCATGTGCAAACACTGAAGTGCTGACAGCTTCAATACAAACCAATGATTTAGACCGCTGATGGCACAATCATACACTTTCAGAAAATATAGGTCTGTCGTCCCAGGCACATATGTTTGGGCTATTGCACAATATTTAACATAAAACTAGCTCCGTTATAGCTGACTCTTACTCCGTTTTCAGATCTAAGCCTATTAATGCTTATTTGCACATCGATCAGACCCCAAGTAGGTATTGTATGCTGGTTTGTGTAATCTCTCCCAGAGCTATTTGGGAGCAGGCAATAGTTACACAATGACTTAATGAATGTACTAGTAGAGTTCTTCTGGAGTATAAGCACAAGGGCCAAATCCAGCAAAGTCGGACTTTAGGTTACCTCTAAAACAGAGAGAAATAGTCCTGTAAAGGGCAATTCAGATCAGGAGTTTAAGAGGTGCCTTTAATCACCATCCAGAGGAGAATCTTCTTTCTGCACAGGCTATAAATGAAACGAAATTGCCCAGCCTCTTTAGGCAGAAGATACAGGGAAGGCTACTGCTACTGCTTTTTGTATAGCAGAGCAATGTGTTGGCACTGAGCTACTCTCAAGGTGACACAGATGGCCCTTCGTGTCTGCAGAGCATTCAGTCTATATTGCCAAGGGGGAAACAGCAAAGTCCTACTAAAGAGAGAACATTAGTGCTTAATGAATCATTTTCCAGTATGAAAATCCTTCCTTTTATTTTAGGCTACAAGGGATTCAAACCAATGCCAAATGGCTCACTCTTCTCATTTTATTTATTAGCAGTGCATGTTCAAGACATAACTGTTTTCTCTTATGTGAACAGTTCACAATTACACGGTAGTTATGTAACACAGACTTTGCCCTTTAAAATGCCAGACTTCTTTAGCAATGCTTTAAAGAGAGGAACATCTGAAAGAGAGTACCCTCCCAACAAAATACTGAAAACTTTGTTTTGTCGTAGAGAATGAGTTGTTGAGGGATGAGCATTACTAGGAACAGCATGAAGCTCTAGATGCTTTATCTCTGAACATTACAGCCTTAAAGACACTGAAACTCCAGACTGTCCTCCAAGACAAATTTGGATGAACTCTGGAAAATACAAAGGAGCCAAAAAGAGAAGAACAAAGGAAAGAGAACTGCTCATGACAAGTATAAGGGGGCATCTAGGAAAACCTGTGAAAGATACCAGCAATATCTGGATGACTTGCAGTCAAATCCATCAAATGGGTAATATTTACAAGCAACAACAAAAAACCCCTGGATTTTTCACATATAGGTACATTTCTGTTATATGGAAAAAGTACTTATTTTGCAGTGCCTGCCTTCCCTTTGTAATTGAAATGAACCTCTAAAATGATCTGTTCCAGTTCTGAGAACAGACTTAGTGGGTATTTGCTAGTTTCTATGTTCCAAATATTAGAACATTTTATTTAATAAAACCTAAGGCTGGTTCTTTTCAGCATCTTTCAAGGTTGAAGAATGAAAAAGGTTGTTAAAAAGAAATACGCAGTGAAGGAGCTAATAAGGTGAGTTAGTACCTGTGATCGCCCTTCGGATCTCTCGTGCTGCTTCCTCCCGCATCTCAATTGAGGCTTGTTCACTATACCAGGCTGCATGTGGGGTACAGATCAGGTTTGGTGCATCCTTCAAGGGGCCCTGACTAAAGCTAAATGAAGATTTAAAACAAGATATAATGACAAAAAAT